ATAAAACTAATTTAACTTTGGAAGAAATTATAGAAGGTTTTTGTCAGGCCTCATCTTTAGATAGTCTGTATAGATGTAACAGATGAGAAAATTGGATATTTACCTTGTTTGTCGCTCAAGAAAATTGGATATTTCTCGCCGCCGCAATCCTCAATTGTAAGCATAATCACATACTTCATATTGTAATAAAACACACAGAAAATATATTTGTTTTTTTTCCTTATCCCCCTGCTTCCAAAATACAACAATAAGAAAAGGAATATTTGAATTATAAAAAACGTGATATTATATTTAAAAAATGATTTATTGAAATATAGTAAAAATGATGTTTTCTGGTTGTAGATTATCGCAAGTTGATAAAGCTTTCTCCCCAAAAATCAATATGTATATTTTTAATTTTCTTGTCAATTGTAGAGCTAATGGGGAAAATGCAATGAAGATGGAAAAAAAACTTATGTTGAACTATAATGACCCCAAAGTAATATATCGAACTATTGGGGGATAAGGTGACGTTTATCGTCATACGGACAAAGAGCCACTTTTGTTTGCTCTATACTGAAAACGTTATGAGCAAATGATCGTATTGTGCATTGCGTAATATTCTTTTGCTTGAAATTCATAATCGGATGTGTCAAATTTTTCAAGGTGTTTCCCGATAATTTATTTGTACGCACCGTCACATGACAATTCATAAACAAAAGAATCAGTATCGGTGTACATCAACTTGCATTTTTCCACACCCAAAGTGGGCAACATAAAGTCATAATGAAATTGAAACATGCAAGTTTTTGACAAATCCAAAATTGCCATTCCCACATACATCGGTTTATCGAATACAAGTTCGGCTTTTTTCAATTCAATAGCCATCACGTCTGCATCGAAAACTGTATGATTATGAAATCGGGGGCTTGCTATTAACTTTTTAGCGCCATAACGGCCCTCGTAAGAAGACATTAATTTCACTATTCGATGTAGTCGGATGTTTTCCATCGTTTTTCCAAAGATCGCATTAATGGCCAACTTGAACTGATTTTTTTCAAAAGACGTAGTGGCTGCAGTCCTCAAACGAGTATTCAATTCGATGTAGGGTCGTAGCCATGCAGACTGCTTGAATTTCAACACTTTATGGATTTTAGTCAATTTCAAACCATGGTCAAGAGCCTGTTTTAAATTTCTATAGTGTAAAGTATATTCGGTTTTGTTATGAAGGGTTGGCATCAATTTTTTCAATTTTGAGTTTGGTGGTGCTCGATGTTCGAGTCAAAATGGAAACTCTTTGTGTAAATCGTGAAGCTCATCGGGGTACTCCAAATCATCGGGAATTTGAGACATGTTTGTATCTACCCATTCAAAACCTACATATGGTAGGCATTCTGACATTGCCCATCCATATAAATTATTTACATTGAAATACATTATAAATTTGGATGGTTTCGTAGCATCATATGTTGGCATATACTTGTTGTTTGCTTCTGAATATCTATTGCAACAAACTGAAATTCCAGCCCTTATAGCTTTTTCCACAAACATAACCATGTCGACATCTTTTAAAATTTGCAATTTACAATCCGTATATTTCAACATACAATCCCACGTGTACCCTGACATTGTGTAATACCACGCAGGATCCAGCCCATATGTTTTCAAATAAATTTCGCAAAAGTTTTCAAAAACGTCTGCCAAAAGCAATATATTCGTTCGCATATATAAATCACTGTATTCACCCAGAGTTTTCATATCGAATTGATGTCAAACACGTTGAGCATGAGCATAATTTTCATCATCAATTTCACAATCGTTGAGTTTATTATAAACATTTTTTTTGGATGGTAACTCAGTGTCGAGAACTTTTTCCACACCGTCCACATAATCGTATGGGAAAACGCCTTTCTTAGTGAGAAGCACAAACTTCTCATCGTCCAAATCTGCAAATTCCTTTTTCAATATTTTCAAATTCTTAACAGCCAGTGTGGAAACTAATTCATCGAGACTGGCCCCCATAAAACAATAAGAATCTATAAATCTGAATTTAATGCTAGTTTCATTATCGTATTGGGTGAATGAAATATATTTTTCTTTGTTGATGGGAAGTATGCTCACACTTCCTCTTTTTGCTACATCCTTTATAATGAAATGACTATCATATCCACTCAAATTTTGGAATGTAATCGGTACAATAAAAAGCTTCTTGAACGATAAATTGCAAACCTGATGACTCCATCCCCTAAACAACCCTGAAAAGTGATCATGATCGCGCACGATAACATCTTTGGGGGTGAACGGTTTTTTGCAAATATGACAAGTCGTTGCAGCACTGATACTATTCGAAGGTATTACCATCGGCTTAATATTTTTTATTTTGGACTCAACGAATTTTGCAATGCTAGCCATTTCATCGGTAAACCATTGTATACAATCGTTACCTCGATGGCTATTAAATTTGGACAAAGTGCCGTAGTGTCCGACCGAAAGTTCGGTTTCGGTCGAGTTTCGGCATAAAAAACGGGTTTCGGATTAGTTTCGGTTTCGGCGCCGAAACTGCGACCGAAACCGAAACTGCATTCGGGAGTTCCCGCGCTGTGATCGGTCATGTTCGGCGCGTTAAATTTCATACAATCGACGAAGACATTTTGCCGCGTCCACGTGCCTAATCATGTCGTGACTATTGTGATAGCAGGTATCAACTCAAATAAGTAATTTTATGTTTAATATTTTTGAAAACCCATCAATAATATTCAAAAGAAGGATCTACA